TCGTCTGGCATCTGTCCAATCCTGGCCTTCCAAGTGGGGGTCCGACCAGTTGCTGATGGTTCGAGAGGCTAAAGACTGGCCGCTGGCATTGCTCGTGAACACACGGATCACTGATCGGATGCCTGAAAATCTAGAAAAGATCCCCTCGTGGACGCGATCCAAGGCACACGTGCCCGCAAACCAAGCACAGATCATGGGAAGCGGGCAATATTGTCATAGCCCAGCCACGACTCGGGCGGACTGACAACAAGCTGGACGTAGACTAGTCGCGGCCCGTAGCCCCGTATGGAATCCCGAGCGAAGCGTCAAAGTGGGTCCCTTGGCCCAGAATCGCCCTCGGGCTCCCCACCAAGCGAAGCAAACGTCGTTTGGAAAAGTCGGTATAGGCATGAAGCAGGAACGCGTTCAAACTAGATTTGGCCTCGGCCCACCCCCGAACAAGGGAAGCGGAAGGATTCTGCTTGAAGTGGGAAAGCACGTGAAACACGAGTAACCAAAACCAGGCTTCGAAACGGGTCCCTCTCGGCAACCCTCGAACCCCAACTCAAGCCAACTCTCGAACCCCAACTCAAGCGGAACAAACGTGTCCTGGACCCGAAGGCTTTCCCTGGGACCAGCACTCCGGATGAGCCGCTGCTTGACGGTGCCGGGGCCAAAGGAGAGCACAAGGGGGCGGAGGAGACGAGCCAAGCGGAAGGAGGCGTGAAAACACGACGGGCCTGCACCCAGAAGTGTCGTGTGCATCAGTGGTGGATGGATTGGCGATGCCCGTGCGATGACACAAAGAAGCTAAATGAAGGTGTGGACACCTTCCAAAAGTTCCTAGACCCCCCAAGCCCTTTCGGACCCGTTCCCTCAATGTGGACGCCGGGGGTCGGGCGGCGGGGGGTGTCAGCCCAACCCAGCCGCCGGCTGCACTGGCTCCGAGGCTCCTGGCCCAGGATTCGCGATGCCCGCGAGCTGCTGCAGGAATGCGCCGAGCCTTCACACCGCCACTGCAGCCGTCGTACGCTCCCTCATTCGCCATCATCTTCACACTCGAATGGCTGTTCTGCGTCTTCGTCGTCTTGGCCACCTTCCTATCCCTGCTGTCTCGAACGCGACCTAGCGAGCAGCAGCCCGTGCAAACGAAGACCAGGGCCTCTCCTGGTCCAGAAACCTGCCCAGCAAGGCTAAATGTCTCCCAACCCCAACTGTGGAAGCTAGGTCCTCGTTTTGAGTCCGCAGCGCCGCTCTCCGCGTTACTCAACCTCGGGGATGGACAGAACCCCCTTTGGTAAAACGTGGTTTAGTGAAAACGACCTCGGGCCCAAACCTGGCGGGCGCAAGCCTGGAAGACGACGGCCGCGGCACACTCTCGAGAACCGAAATGACTATCTACCAGACCACCCCAACCCAACCCGAAGACCCGAATTTGACCCGCATTTCGGGTTCGGGGGGGGGGTACGAGTTATATGTGCTTTTCAATGTTCCCCGACCCCCCCCCCCCACACTGGAAGTGGAGGGAAAATCGAAGCCTTCGGGTTGGGTTGGGGTCATTTGGTGGGTGGTGACGAAAACGGACAATTCACTTATCGACGCGCCAGGGTGGGGGTTCTGCGAACGTGACCCCTTTTTCCTGAAGGTCCTCCTCCGAGTGTTCCCCCTGAGGGCTCCAAGTGCTACGGGCCCGCCAGGGCCACACTTCGTTGCGATGCAACTTGTCTGCTCGTGTGCATGCACGTGCTTGAGTGTACTACAGCCACTGTGGGTCAGACCAGCGCGCCGCCCTGGGGACTGCGGCCGCTGCGGATTCGCAGGTTCTGTCCACCCCCATCAACCCCGCTCCCTGCCGCACGCCCACTTCGGCACCCCCCCCCGCACGAGGAGCGAGGCCCCTCATATAGAGAGCCCCAACCGACGGTCTCGGCCGGTGCCGCCTCGCTCGGCGGCGCACCTCGGCGATGTTCCCCCTGAAAACGGGGCCCGTCGCTAATCCACGCCCCCCCAGTCCATGTTTGCGATGGCCAGAGTTTGGGATCCGCAGCGCCGCGCTCCACCTTGCTCAACCCCGCTCCCTGCCGCACGCCCCCTGCAGGGAGCCCACCAGAGGACGCACGCGCCCAGCCACCTACATGAGCACGGCCCCTCGACCCGCGAGACCGGCCGCGTGATACAGGCATTCGCGCGGTGCGTACTCTCGAAACCAGCGTGGATTCGTGCACGAGCACGTGCACGTCCTCCTTTCGCTCCTGACATTTCGGCACCCCCCTCGCGAGCATCGAGGCCTCCTCCTCCTCCTCCTCCTCCTCCTCCTCCTCCTCCTCCTCCTCCTCCTCCTCCTCCTCGACTGTCTCACTGGGCGCAGACGCACGGCGCCACCAGGGCCCCCCATCGGGAGAGCTCCGTGTTCGGCCCAACTCCGGGCGCAGACGCGTGGCGTCGTCCCCGGCCCTTCTTCGTGGCCCCACAGCAGGGGGCTCGCTCCTGGCCCTCCCTGCTCCAGCTCGTCCTCCTTACCCACGTCCTTTGTGGGCCCTGGAAACGGCAGGGCCGTTTTTTTCACCGTTTCCAAAAAAAATGCCCCTTGAAAATGGAAACGGCAAAAAAACGGCGACCGGAAACGGCAAAAAAAAACGGTTCCAGGATTGGAACCAGAGCCGGAACCGGTCAAAAAACGGCGACGGAATCGTTAAAAAAACGGCAAAACGGAACCGGTAAAAAAACGGCCCTGTCGTTTCCAGGGCCCACTCAGCCCACGTCCGAGTACAGTCAAAAATTGAATTCAGAACACTATCAATTCAGAAAGCCGGGCCAATTTTTCCAAAGTTTCCTAAGGAAACGCTGGGTCAGCTTTTGGAGCCAGGAACGTACATGATTCATGTCCAGGATCCAACGCTACCAATCCCCTTAAGAAACTGAGCCAGCTTTCCGGCAAGTTGGTTAAGAAACGCTGGGACAGCTTTTCGGGGGGAGGTTTCTTAATCATAAGCGGGACCGTAGTTGTGCGCGTCCCTCTCCGTGTTCTCATCTGACTTGTGGCACCTACCCCTGCATATTCGTAGGGGTGGGCACTTCGTCAAGCCAGTTTCATATAGCTAGCGTGTGCGCTGCGTGTTCCTCCGAATCAGCCAGCCTGCTCGTGGCCTACCCATCGCTGGCTCATCATCTCGCCGTGCGTAGCTGAACAACAACGCGTGACCCTTCAGATTATGAGTGGAGCTGGAAATTACAACAGCATGGCGAAAGCAAACGAGAAAGACACTCTAATTTGATCCGCTAGCCTCCCTTGCGAGGGCAGGCTGTGAGAGTCGTCTCAGAAATTGGGTAACTCAATTTTCACCTGTGCAATGCGGTAAGTCGCAACGTTGCAACATCCTTCGGGGATCCTATTCTTGGCAACATGTAGTGTCCAGTCACCAGTTCAAAAAGCGCAGAAGGGTGATATGCTAAGTATCTGAGAACGCGCGCGAACGCCCCCCCTCCCAGCCAGAAAGTACGGCGCCATCACCCCCGAACACACACATACACACACACACACACACCCTCAGAACTTATGGGTTGCCGGGACACTCAAAAAAGAAGTTGCTTTCTGGCACAGCGGGAAGCGCTACTGCCTGAGCCCCTTGATGCTGAGGCTGTCGATTGCCGTCGGCCGCTGCTGGTCGATGCTGCTTGATGCTGCTCGGCACTGCTTGCTGCTGCTCGGTGCTGCGTGTTGTTTCCTGCTGCTACGGGCTGCTGATCCCGCGTTAGTTCCCACGCTGCTCTCCGTGTTCACCTCCCCGTCCACCTCCTCATCCTCGTCTTCACATCGCCTTATCACTCCTCCTCCTCCTCCTCCTCCTCCTCCTCCTCCTCGCACTTCGCACTTCGCATCTTTGTTCCTCGCCCCTCCTCCTCCGCGCTCCTCTTCCGAATGTGTCTTCCTCTTCCTCAGAATCGCCTCGAAACCTCATCCTCCTCCTCTCTGAAAAGTGCTGATGTAACTGACACTCGTAAAATGCGTTCTACGGCATCGGCATGCTCGGACTGTCGCCTTCTTTCTGTCCCTGCACGCCCCCCATGGTGGGAGAATGCTGAGGAAGAGAGAGAGAGAGAGAGACAGAGAGAGAAAGAAAGAAAGGGAAAGAGAAAGGGAGAGAGAGAGAGAGAGGAAGAGAAAGAGAGAGAGAGAGAGCGAGAACAACAAAAAGAACTGTCACAATAACTCATATCGAACCCCGAAAGCTCCCACCCCCACAAGGCTCCGGTGCCTTTGGGCACGGGCACGCATGTGGTCGTGCGCCGCCTCGCGAGAAGGTAGAGCAAGGACTGAGGCAACGAGCTAACAAGAAAATGGCACATTGCATGATCAAGTGTCTGTTCTCTGGACACTGCTTTGGATCCATCTGGGAACTGGCAACGAGCGAGGGGAAGCGAAGGCGATGCAGCGAAGTGGAGCAGGGGGACAAGGGGCGAGCCCGCAGGAGCTACCGTAAAGCAGGCGACTGACTCGAGAGGCGCTTGCGATCATTGTCCAGGCTGCTCGATCGCAAAATGCTTGGCCGAAGACGGAGACAGGATGAAGACAAGATCAGATCGGGGATCTCTTTAGACCAGGGAGCTCTGGAGGTCGCAACGGGCGGCGCAGTCTTTGCAGAGCATTCCGGCATGCTGTGGAGCAATCTTTATGTTTAGCAGGACTGCCTGATGGCCTCCGCAGCTGGGCCAGCGCTGTGCGGCCACATTCCGTGAACGCGACGCAAGGGATTCAACAGACGTCGACTCCGCCCCATTGTCGGGCCGACACGCTGACGGCAATCCTTCCGGGGGGGGGGGGGGGCAAAACAAGAAATTGGCACCGATAAGCATGTTAAGACTGTTCGCTCTTCATTGCCCGCATGTCATCCAATACCCGAAGCTCTCGACTCCTGCCCTGTTCGTTTTATGAGCGTAACCCCCCGTCTCTTCTTCCTTACGCCAGCTCCTCGGTAAACAACCTCGACAGAACAAGATGAACGGGCCGAGGTGGACCCTGGCGGGCGGGTCGGGCGGGCGGGACGTTAAAGCGGGCGGACCCTGTCGGGCGAGTTGGGCGGGCGGACCCTAACAGGCGAAAAGAAAGCTCAGACGGGAGCGCGATTCCTGACTAAATTAAGACGAAGTCCAAAGCAAGAGCACGATTCCTGAGGAGCGAGAGCGCAATTCCTGAATAAGTCATCAGGAAGACCTAGGCGAGAGCGCGATTCTTGAGCAAATTGCAAGAGTCTTGAGCGAGAGCACGATTCCTGCAACGGAATTAACCTGCGCAGCATGTCCACGTCTATGCCGCACCGCGCCACCGCTTGGAGCTCCCTCTGGCGAGCTGCACTCTGGTGAGTGGCAGAACTAAATTCTGCCTGGCCTTCACTGATAGCAAAAAGCGATGACTCCACTGATTGTGAGGAAATTAAACCTAGGGAGCTGTTGTTGTTGCCTATTTTGACCCGAAGACTTTCCCGGGTGATGAACAGGGTGCGATAGCGGGGATTCAATTGAAAAAACTGGACGGGGGGGTGCGAAAAAGTATTCCTCGGAAGTGAGAGCTAAAAATCATCACATTAAGACTGTTCGCTCTTCGTCAGCCGCGTGTCACTCAAGACATCTACTCCAAGCCCTCAGCTCCCGCCTCGCTTATTCCTCAAACAATGTACTCAACGTGGTGCTGTCGTGATAGAAACTAGTTCCGGTCGAGGGATGGGCGCCCAGAAACATCCTCCAGAAAACTTCGTGGTCCAAGCCGTTTCGCCTGAGTCCTCCTCGCAACTCTCATTTCTGAGTTGTCTAGGATTGTGCGCTTCGCTTGAGATCTCCTGACATGTCGCGCGCGAGGTGGTCAAGCCCGTTTCGCTTGAGACATTTTCGCAACACATGGCTCCGAGATGCCGCGCGAGAAGTGGTCTAGCCCGCTTCGCATAAAACGTAGTCGCAACACTTCACTCAAAGACGCCACGCGCGAGGTGGTCTGGCACGTTTCGCCTGAACCATCACTTAAACTCTGGGCTCCGAGATGCCGCGCGCCCGGTGGTCCAGCCCGTTTCGCCTGAGACATCCTCGCAATTCTGAGATGCCTCGCACGAGATGGTCCAGCCCGTTTCGCTTGAGACGTCCTCGCAACTCTCGGCTCCGAGATGCCGTGCGCGAGGTGGTCAAGCCAGTTTCGTCTGAGACATCCTCCTCGCAGCACTGGGCTCCGAGATGCCGCGCGCGAGATGGTCCGGCGCGTTCTGCTTCAGACATCCGCGCAACTCTGGGCTTCGAGGGGCTGCGCGAGAGGTGGTTGGCCCGCTCCGCCTGAGACACCCTCACAACACTTTGCTTCGAGATGCCGCGCACGAGGGTGTCTGGCCCGTTTCGCCTGAGATATTCTCGCAGCACTGGGCTCCGAGATGCCGCGCGCGAGTTGATCCAGTCAAGTTCGCCTGAGTCATCCTCGGAACTCTGGACTCCGAGATGCCGCGCGAGAAATGCTCCAGCGCGTTCGGCTTCGGACATACTCGCAACTCTGGGCTTCGAGGGGCTGCGCAAGAAGTGGTCGGCCCTGTTTCACATGAGACATCCTCGCAACTCTGGACTCTGAGATGCCGCGCGCGAGGTGGTCCAAACTGTTTCGCCTCAGACATTCTCGCAACACTGGGCTCCGAGATGCCGTGCGCGAGGTGGTCAAGCCAGATTCGCCTGAGACATCTTCACAACTCTGGGCTCCGAGATGCCGCGCGCGAGGTGGTCTGGCGCCTTCGGCTTGAAACATCCTCGGAACTCTGGACTTCGAGGGGATGCGCGAGAGGTGGTCCAGCGCGTTTCGCCTGAGACATCCTCGCAACACTAGGCTCCGTGATGCCGCGCGCGAGGTGGCCCAGCCCATTTCGCATGGGACATCTTCGCAATTCTGATCTCCGAGATGCCGCGCGCGAGGTGGTCTGGCCCGCCTCGCTTCGCTTCAGACATCCTCGCAACTCTGAGCTCCAAGACGCCGCGCGAGAGGTGGTCCAGCGAGTTTCGCCTGAAACACCCTCGCAACTCTGGGCTCCGAGATGCCGCGCGCGAGGTGGTCCAGCGCGCTTCGCTTGAGACATCCTCGCAGCTCTGGGCTCCGAGATGGTCCAGCCCATGTCGCCTGAGACATCCTCGCAGCACTGAGCACCGAGATGCCGCGCGCGAGGTGGCCCAGCGCGTTTCGAATGAGACATCTTCGCGGCTCTGATCCCCAGATGCTGCGCGCGAGGTGATCTGGCGCCTTCGGCTTGAGAAATCCTCGCAACTCTGGGCTTCGAGGGGCTGCGCGAGAGGTGGTCCAGCCAATTTCTTTGAGACATCGGCTGGGAACCAATGATCCGCCGCCATGCCGCTGGGCACAGAGGTGGGCCTGCACTCGGGTCCCGGGCCCAGTCCTCCAAGCCTCGATCCTCACTCCTGGTGAGTCTTTCAGGGGTCTGGACCCCAGATTGCCAAATCTACCGGGGCTTGTCTTGGCGCGTCTCGTCGGGGGCCTGTCGCGTCTTCTCGCGATACTTTTTCGGTTTTAAGAGGGCCCCGAAGATGGGCCCACAGGGCCTCAAAGAGGCTCCCAAGACGGCCCAAGAGCGCCCTGAGTCGCCGACCGATCCGTCCAAGACGCCCAAGAGGGCCCTAAGACGGCCCAGGAGGCCTCCAAGACGCCTAAAGAGGCCGTCAAGAGGCCTCCCGTGAGGGCCCCAAGAGGCAAAAAAAACATGGATGTTCCTGGGGTCGTTGTAGACTTTGCCGTTCTCGCCGCTGTCGGCTTCCCGACGCTCTACGACGGCCCGCGAGGCCCCGAAGATCCCCCACAGACGGTCCCAAAGACCCCCAAGAAGGCCCCAAGACGGCCCAAGAGGGCCTCAAGACTGCCCAAGAGGCGCCCAAGACAGCCCAAGAGGGCCCAAAGACGGCCCCAAAAGAGGGCCCAAGAGAGCCCAGAGACAGCCCAATGGCCCCCAAGAGGCCGCGATGAGGCTCCCAAAAAAGCCCCCAAACTGCTCTCAAGAAGCCCCCATGAGCGCTCCGAAGAGACCCGAGGAAGCATCCCTGAAAACTCTGACACACAACCCAGGCACGGTCGCGGGATGGGCCGAAGGCCATGAGATATATCGACGGTGGATCGGCAATACAGTGCGGGCGCGGCCGCAAGAAACCCTCGCAAGAAACCCAACCCTGAGAACCCGTGCGCGAGGTGCACCTGAGGGGAAACCCGGAGCACCCTGAACGTAGCAGCTCCTTCAACGGCTGCGGGAAGTCACCGCGCAACGTGAGAAACCCAGGATACCCTGAGAAAAAGCATATGGTTTCTAAGCTCGCCGAGCGCGTTCTACTACTCGCAGAGTGCCTACTCGCAAACGTCCGAACAGCACCTATCTGCTCTGTTGTAGTTTATCGTAGATCCCCCGCGGGGGATCCAGGCCACTTGCGAGTAGTTACTTTGCGAGTAGTGGAACGCGCTCGTCGATACGCAAATCCGTTGATCTGCCCCCCCCCCCTGAACTGGGTCGACCGAAGGAAATTACCAGCAGCCCTACCAGACCCCATTCCGTGCAGGCACTGCCTGCGGCAAACAAATCAGCTCTATGCGACCATCGTAAAGTTTTGGCCCCAGCAACCTCCGACTGCCGACTGAGCTACCAAGCAACAAAAGCTGGGGGAAACGTAGAGTTGGGGCGCGGGGGCAGTCATGGGAGGAGGACGCGGGACGCTGTTCGCCTCTTGCTACTGCCAGTCCTGCTGGAGCCCTGGAAAGCGTCCGCAGGGTAACGAACGCTACCAGGCTAGGGAGGTCGGCTGCGGCGCATCCCCTTCGACCGGGCAGCTTACGCCGCCGCCTGAAAGGGCTCGACTCCACGGGCCAAGAACCACTAAGTTGAGCAGGCAAACGGAGGTGCCCTGAGAAGGCGCTGCCGGACACTGGACGCTCCTCAGAAAGGCCAAAGAGGCAGCCCAGAGTGGCCCTTCGCTTCTGGGGGAGGGAGGCCGCGGGCGAGAGAAGGGCGTGGCAGACCCGAGGGCGGGAGAGACGCATCGATCCTCCCTGTGACTGCCGCAGTCGGGGCGGGTGCCTGCAGGCGGGCGCCGAGCTTCTCCAGGCGCCCCCTGCGCACCTCGGCGGGACGCGCCGCCGCGGCCGCCGGCGGGCGGCGCGGTGCTCGCCGGCAGCGTGCGGGCACTCTGCCGCGCGCGGGGGGATCGATGCCAGAGGGCCCTCCTCCCAGCCTCCCCGTGCCCTGTCTCATCTCGGGCCATCATGCCCATGGCGAGAGGGACAAAAAAAAAGAGCAGACCGACTCATGGATCGCCCTCCCGTACCAACAACCATGCACCGGAAGGAGCACTCAGTGGACATCAGAGAGCGCCGCTGCAGCGGCGACGTAGCGACACGGCTCGCTGGGATGCGCTGTTGCGACAGAGGCAGTCAACCCTCCTCAATTATCAATTCCCTGTAGCGACACGTGCGCATGCAAGCCCTCGAAGAGCGGGGCGGTGCACAGAAAGAATGTTGAGAACGGGGGACCCACATTGGCAATGCTCGATGTCAACCACGGCCGCCCACACAGCAGCAGAAATGTATCGAATCTCTGGGAGGTGCCAGCTAGACGGCACATGCGGATTTTCGGGCCGAGGGTGGGGTGCTCCATAACACACATCTCCAGCGTCAGTTAAAACACACAAAAGATCATGTACACCCGCTCTCACACAGACGAATGCGTTCGTAATAGCTCATGGCTTTCTTATGAATGCCCAAGGATGTGCTATCGCATGCTATCTGGCCCGAACCCCCTGACAAAAGAAGCAAGTATAGTAAAGTGCCCCACCAGAAGAGCATCGTGCGTTGCATTGAGCTTCTTCTGGTCCTGCGAAGTGAAGCAATGCGATAGGCGGACGCAGCGTATATATTGAACGACATGTTTTAACTCGGGTGCGTCAGGGATATCAAGGAAAACGGGAAGCCCTGGGACCCCCACGGAAGCCTCCAAAAGCGGGGGAGTGTTTCACTGTGTTCCTGAAACGGATCCTCGTGTCGCCCATCTTGCGCCGGCCTCCGCTGCAGCAGAGGCACGGGCAGAGCCGCACGGGTCGACCGAAGCACGCCTCCGTGCCATACTCAGGGAGTCGAGATCGAGAATGCAAGTCTTCTCCCTCTCTCTCTCCCCCCCTCTCTCTCTCTCTATCCCTCTCTCTCCCTCTTTCTCTCTCTCTCTCTCTCACTCTCTATCTCTCCCTTGCGTGCAATGCGCCAAGGGGTCCTAAAGGAAATGGATCCTGGACGACACAGGGCTCTCCCCAGGGCAGGCAGCCCGAATCCCGAGCCGTTCTCACGACCCTGGGATCGAAGCTCTTTTGAAAAACTTGTCCTGGGGCTCCGCGTCCTCCTCCTCCTCCTCCTCCTCCTCCTCCTCCTCCTCCTCCTCCTCCTCCTCCTCCTCCCCCTCCTCCTCCTCCTCCTCTCCTCCTCCCCTCCTCCTCCTCCTCCTGCTCCTGCTCCTCCTCCTCCTCCTCCTCCTCCTCCTCCTCCTCCTCCTCCTCCTCCTCCTCCTCCTCCTCCTCCTCCTTCCTCCTCCCTCCTCCGCCTCCTCGCCTCCCTCCTCCTCCTCCTCTCCTCCTCTCTCCTCCTCCTCCTCCTCCTCCTCCTCCTCCTCCTCCTCCTCCTCCTCTTATAGGATCTCCTCAGGAGTCTTTACATTTCCGATGGAATCCGATGCATATCCAGATTCCCCAAGGAGCCTGGGAAGTCTCACCGCCAGGAACCAGCTCCGCACCCGCGGCTCCCGGAGAGCCCTGCCCTGGATACCCTGAGAAACCGGTGGCTGCTGACGGGCTCCCGCCCTCGTGGTCGGGCAGGTCTCTGCATCCACCAACCTCCTCCGGGAGGTTCTCGAGCTCGCGAGGCACGAAGCCGAAACGCTCTGGATGTGGATAGATTCTGGCGGCAGAGCAGCCGAAAACGGCCGCCGAAAAGTGGCCCTCGTGGATAGGGCCGGAAGATCGCGCCGCATCGCCGATGCACCGGCGATGCGTCGGCAACGTCGCCATGAAGAGATCAGGCTCTGGATCTCACGGCATCGCCGACTCATCAGCAATGCGGCGCGATCATCCGACGCCGTCTAAAGACTCTGGCCCTATTGTAAAGGGCAGAAAATCCACCCCGATAATAACCACCCCGACACGCGAAGCCGCTTAACAAACGCGCCCAAAGAAGGAATCAAAAAGGGCAGGGCTGTTTAGTAAACGCCCAAGGCCGTAATCGTCGGGTCCAGGTGGTTTTTCCTCCCTTGATATTTGTGCGGCCTAGATCCTCTCTCTTGCTCTCTGTCCATCCCTCATGTGGCGCAACCCCCCGCTGGGCCAGTCTGACAAGGTCGGCATGAATGACTGGGAGCGATCCTGCAGGAGCTGCGCCTGCTGTGCCCTGCCGCGTGCCGCGGCGGCCTCGAACGACTGCTGGAGGCTCGTCACGCTGAGGCGCTCCTCTCGGCCAAGGTGAGTGGACCGCAAGACTGGAGGAGGAGGCGAGCAGGCCAACTAACATCGCCAGAGAGAAAAAAGCCTCGGCCATGCTCAGAATGAGTCGGGACCACAAGCAGATGCCTGGCGCGCATCTTGGGCACGGACCCACAAGCGACCCTAGCCACGCTTCTTCAACGTCACAGCCTTCGGGATGGTACTTGTTTGCTGCGCCGGCCACTCAAACGAGCACTGGTGCTGGTGGAGCAGCCCTTGTTCACCTACCTGTATCTGTTATGCGAGATGCTTGCCACCATCAGTGTGACTGGAATCGTATTGTTCAACGCGAGCAACTGCGTGCCCCCTGTCCCGCCCCCCAACCCCTGGCCTCTGTTCGGCCCCAGACCTTCAGTCGGCCGAGATGGAAAGAGGCCCTAATGCTCGGACTGGTCAGGGGTGATGCGCGTCCAGATCATCATTACTGCCCATGGTTGGCCTGCCCACAGCGCCCACAAGCCGAAGTTGGAGGCCGCCAAACCAGAACTGGAGTAGATGCGGTCGAAGTGTCAAGCCGCGTCTCCGATGTGTCGACGACGCTGGGATGGAGAAACTCCAATCCCAATCGCACCGCATCTACTCAGTCCCCCATTTGAACGGCCTGGAGAAATGGGCATTTGTCATGAGAGAACGATAGGGAGAGAGAGAGAGAGAGAGAACAGCCCCTCCTAAAACATAGATTTGGACGCCCGATTCATCCGGGGTAACTCGGGTCCGGGATAACTCGGGTTTGGATTCCCGAAAAAGGAACCCGAGTTATCCCTGACCCGAGTTACCCCTGATGATTCGGGGCTCTTGGACGCCCGATTCATCCGGGGTAACTCGGGTCCGGGGTAACTCGGGTTTGGCTTCCCGAAAAGCGAACCCGAGTTATCCCTGACCCGAGTTACCCCTGATGATTCGGGGCTCTGAATAGATGGAAAAAGAAAGAGAGGTCCTGAGGAAACCGGAAAAATGTCCTGGACCCCCGGGCTCTCCGTCAGACGGGCTGTGATCCCGGCTGCACTCGGCGGCCCCCGTCAGACGGGCTGTGATCCCGAGCTGCACTCGGCGGCCCCCGTGAAAACCCAACCAGAGGCGCACGGAGGCCGAAGACCAACAGGAACCCGCGAGACCACCCCGCCCTCACGGCTCCTCCCCCGCGCGGCAGGGCATCCGCAGGAGCCTCTTTCCGCGCTGGCGGGCGAGCGGCTCCCCGGGCGCCCCCCGGCGCAGACCAGGGGCATCGGCGGTGGACAGACCTCCCTTTAGTAGACCTCCCCTCGGCGAAAACGGCCTGGGACCGAGGCCGACGGACCTGGGCCCGCAAAAAGGACGGCCGCGACGCCCCCTCGCGAGCCGAAAACGGCCAATTCCTTACTCGACGTGTCAGGGTAGGAGGTCTATCCACCCTCGAAGGACTCGGGCCTCGGGCGGCGGTCCGGGACGACTCCCGCAGCCCCCGAGGCGCGCCCTCGGCGGGGCACGGCTGCACGACGTGTCAGGGTAGGAGGTCTATCCACCCTCGAGGGACGGGGGCAGGGAAACGATGCCCGACCAGACGGAACCCTTCGCCGGCCCGAGGCCCTGCCCCGGCAGCTCCGCGGTGCAGAGGGCCCTGGCTCCGGCCCCCCGTCGGCGCCCGGCGCTTCCGGGCCCGAGTCGGGGGTTGGGCCTCCTCCTCCTCCTCCTCCTCCTCCTCCTCCTCCTCCTCCTCCGCCGCCTCCGCCTCCGCCTCCGCCTCCGCCTCCGCCTCCGCCTCCTCCTCCTGCTCCTCCGCCTCCTCCTCCTCCTCCTCCTCCCTCCTCCTCCTCCTCCTCCTCCTCTCCTCCTCCTCCATCCTCCTCCTCCTCCTCCTCCGCCTCCTCCTCTCCTCTCCTCCTCCTCCTCCTCCTCCTCCTCCCCTCCCGCCGCCTCCGCCTCCGCCTCCGCCTCCGCCTCCGCCTCCCTCCTCCTCCTGCTCCTCCGCCTCCTCCACCTCCTCCTCCTCCTCCTCCTCCTCCTCCTCCCTCCTCCTCCTCGTCCTCCTCCTCCTCCTCCTCCTCCTCCCTCCTCCTCCTCCTCCTCCTCCTCCTCCGCCTCCTCCTCCTCCTCCTCATCCTCCTCCTCCTCCTCCTCCTCCTCCTCCTCCTCCTCCTCCTCCTCCTCCTCCTCCTCCTCCTCCTCCTCCTCCTCCTCCTCCTCCTCCTCCCGAGAGACTACCCTGTCTGGGCGAGGGGCACGGCCGTCAAGACCACGACCTCCCGCACACGACTGCCAGGTCACTCGCACCGCCTGAGAGAGCAGAAAAGCCACCCCCAGGATAAGCACTCCGACGAGCAAAGCCGCTTAGCAAGCGCACCCAGGGAAGGAATCGCACAGGGCAAGGCTGTTTCGTAAACGCCCAGGGCTGTTCAGTAAACGCGAATTGTCGGGGTCGGGGTGGTTTTGTCCACCCTTGAGGCATGGCCTCTTCAGCAATCGGCCTCGGTGAGGAAAGTAGCGTCGGAGTCGACTCCGGCGCACGTGCTCGCCTGGGTGCTTGGGCTTCACGCTGGCAGACTGCTGACAGAGGAAGAGAATACGCCTGAACGCCTTAGAACCATCCAGCATTTTCTGGAAATCTGAAATCGGCCCTGCGAAGGGTAGGTCTCCACACCGAGCCCCGGGAAGGCTCCAGCAATGCTCTGCTCAGCTACAGCGGCGACTGAAGTCCTGCTGCACAAGGTCCTTGGCCCCATCCGCCAGCGACCTGCTTTCTGTAGTGACGCCAGCCTCAGGGGAAGGAAAATTGATGAAATGGAGGGGCGCGCTGAGGTCCAGAAAGGCCTACAAGCAAGCCGTTCGCAAATCTGGATTGATCAAGTCTTCAGTCGAAATGGAAGTAGCATCATTCATTCAAGCATACCTATATATATATATATATAAACATGCACTCATGCATGCATGCCTGTGTCTACAGAGCTGTGCACACCGTGTAAAATGAAAGCATGCACATACATACGTCTATAAATGTGCGTGAATGTACAAAATTGGGTGCATGTATGCATGCACACATATGTACAACACGTGTGCAATACAATTGGTGCACGCGCATGAAAACATTACTATATATACACACTAGAACCACGCGCGTTTCGCGCGCGCTTAGCTTCTAGTCACGCTCGAAGATCTATCATCACAAATTGCCGCTGGGTACTGCAAGGTTGACTCGGGAATTCCCTCAAGGCTAGTCGTGGGACCTGCCGCTATTCGATATGGTAACCCAAAACTCGTGTAAGGCGGTTCTTGGGGGATGATACGACGCGCCGTCTGGGGCTGAAAAAGATCAAGGGAGAACTGTGGTGCCCGAGTCTGGCTCCGCACGGCACGTCGCTTGAGCCGAATCATGGTACATCGGGACCGTCGCGCGCGCTTCAAGCGGGCTCAAGTTCTAGCCAATCACAGCACACTGGCGCATGCCGTTCTACAACAACTGAATACGGAGATGTTCTCCTACTCTGGCTATGATTGATTCCTGCTGTTCCTTTTCCT